CCCTGTTTAAGCTAGGGTATGGGCAGATAGTCCTGCCACTCCCTGCATATCTCAGAATCTCCAGAATCTGCTCATTCCTCCATGAGAGATGATCTATAGGATGGGAATAATACCAGAACCGACTCTAGAGGGTTTTCAGGAGTAAATGAACGTAAAGTTCTTTAAATCATGTAGTTCAATAATTATTAGTACTTATTATATTTCTTCAAAAACTATTTCACATCCTTACTGGGTAAGATAACTCGCTGCCTCTGAAATCAGATGGGCCTTAGATTCTGCTCTGCCCTTTCTCACATGTGACTTTAAACTTAAGCCCTCCATGCCTCAGTTTTCTCATCTATAAAATGAAGTAATGTCTACTTCAGAAGATTGTTGTAAAGATTAAATGTGATGTTGGTGTTAGTTATCGCAATGTTAGTTGCTATAACAAGAAATCCTCCAAATTTCCTGTCATCATCCAATGCATTTTGATGGGTGACTTCTTTCCATATGATGTCCTAGGGACCAGGATCCTCCTACTAGTATATTGTAGCTCTGTCATCTCTTAGGAACTAGTCTTCCTCTGAATCCAAGTGGCAGAAAGGAAATAAGAGTATGGAGAGGGCAAATCCAATTCTAAATGCTTTGGTCTGGGAGCAACACTTATTGTTTCATTCATATTCCATTAGCAAAAACAAGGAGGGCTGGAATTTTAGACTCTGTATGGACAATCACTTCTCAGTGGCAACTCTACCGTATGAAATGAGGAGCATGCAACTCAAGGGGAGAGCTAGCTGTGTCCGCCACATTGAGAGAAATAATATCAGGATATTATTTGAGTATTATTAAATGTGAGAATTATGTTAAGTGTTATTGCTAATATTTTTTATTTAATCCATACAATAACCATGGATGTAAGTGCTACTATTATCCACATTTTGTAGGAGAAAACTAAGTCCTCTAACAATGTAGACATATTCCCAAACTCACACATCTGGTAATTGGCTGAAATCCTATAAATTCTAAATTCAGTACATTCTCTTGTTACTACATAAAGAAATGAAGGATGTCCTGAATATAGGAAGCAGAGCCATGCCATGGTGGCTATAACCAGTCAGTGAAGAGGGCGGTTCTTGGTGAAGCTTGCCAGGTGGGCCCAGGACAAGGTCTGGATTGGCGAGGGAACATTGGTGTAACCACTCAAGTTTCTTCCCAGGATACATACATGGTGAGCATCTGATTGGGACTAGTGGGGAAGAGGCAGGTGTTGCTTTGTTTGGGATTTTGTTTGTTTGTTTGTCTAATAATAGAAAACCAAGGTAGTTATATAATCATTTAAACCCTATCAGGTAGGTTCTTTTAGTGTCATATTCATTTTACAGATGGGCTAATTGTGGCTCAAATAAGTAACTTGAGGTCACACAGCTAATAAATGACAGAACTAGTGCTCAAATCCAGGAAGTCCAGCCCCAGAGCCCTTGCTATGTTGCCTTGTTTACAATGAACGTAAAGAAGGAAATAGCAAACAGGATCCAGTGGGAGAGAATTGTCAGAAAAAGTCACAGTCAATGGGACATTGGGCTACTTTCCTGTGGACATGAGACCCACCATCCCGGACAGAGGAGAGTCAGGGAGAAAGCCCACTGACCAAACCAGGTAGGACTTGCCACCAAAATCAAGGCGCATTCAGATTCCCAGCTCCACACCAGAGTCCAGTGATCTACTCCAAGCTTGTAGGAACACAATTGGGAAAGTGAAGGCTTAGAAAAGACAATGGGCAACAAAACAGCCTCTGCTTGGTTCTTCATCAGCCGAGGGCCCTAAGGACCCTCATAAAACAAGCCATCACCTCATTCATTATAATCAACCATTTCTGCTATGATTAGACAGTTAGACCAAGTACACCTGCAATAGCCAAGCAGCAGGTCACATTTACTTGTGAAAGAAGTGCTCCAAGAAGGCCCAGCAGGAGGGGATCTGGTGTGCCGGTGAGGACTTGAGCTCTGGGGTGACAGGCTTGGCCAGTCACTTAACTTCTCCAAGCCTCAGTTTCCTCATCTGAAAACAGAGGTAGCCACCTCCATCTGGCAAGGCCGTGTCCAGATAAAGGAGATGCCACTGGAAAGCAATACACAGGCAGAGCCTGGCACAGAGTCAGGGTCAGTAAGTGGTAGGGCACAGTGTTATTATTAGCGGTGCTACTTGTTATGAATTATAAACAGGGTGGGAAACAAGCAGAAGTCAAGTGCATTTTAAAGACATGCTGAAGGAGAGATAAAGGCCAGAGAAGCAGAAGGCCCTAAGAAAAGTACATCACAGCAGCCATTTTATGTCTGCCTGTGGTCACAGGAGCTAGCGGATGTGAAAGTGTTCTGCAAGCCTCACTGCCCTAGATGGCATCATTGCTCTGTGATTGTGCAGGTCTCAAGCAGTGTGGACATGGACATCCACACACTGTGTGCTACTTGGCCTTTTTAAAATATATTTTTTTATTGATATCAGAGAGAAAGAGAGAGGGAGGGAGAGATAGAAACATCAATGATGAGAGAAAATCATTGATTGGCTGCCTCCTGCATACCCCCTTCTAGGGATTGAGCCTGCAACCCGGGCATATGCTCTTGACCAGAATCAAGCCTGGGACCCTTCAGTCAGCAGGCTGACTCTCTATCCACTGAGCCAAACCAGCTAAGGATAGTTAGGCTTTTGATTCCATCTGCACGTGGAGGCAAGTGGAGCTTGGCTGAATGGAGCACGCATTACAAGAGGAGACACGGGTTTGTGTAATCCTAGGGGTTGGGGGAGGGTTTGACATTATAAGCAAGGTTACCAAGGGCCACTGAGGACTATGGAGAAACCAATCAGAGCAAGTCACTAAGGACTCCTTCCCTGGCTCATCTGCTCCCTGGAATACATGAGCCCACCCTCCCACCCATGATGTCTACATGACGTGGAACATACCACCCCAAATGCTAGGCGACTAGAGCAGGCTACCATTACATTCTAAAAGGCAGGAAATTATGACAAAGAGATATGAATAATAGCCTCTCTATAATGGGACTGTAGGTGACTTTTCCCCATTCTTCATTACACTCTCATCAATTAATGTTTAATGGGGGCCTTATGTGTGTATTTTCCAACTTTTCGATGCTGAGTGTGTGTTATTTGGAAAGTCGGGACAATAAAATGAAACGAAAGCAAGACTCTCTCCCTAGTGGACCTGGCTGGTTTCATCAGCCCTCTGGGAAGGGGCATTCAGGCTCTGGCTGCACTAACTGTCCAGCCTTCCACCTGCATTTCTCCTCCCTTCCCACAGGCCTTAGGGAAATCTCCTTAACTGCCTGTGGGAGCCCAGGCATTCTCCCACCAACCAGGGTGTGGGTTTGCTCCAGGAAGAGATGCGCCCTGGGAAAGAAACACCAGAACCAAGAGGAAGGAGGAGCGAGGAGATTGCCTAGTTGTGCAGCTCGAGGCCCCAGCTATCACTTCAGGTACCTTCCCCGGTGTTGTTTCCATCTATGGGGACATGTTTAAGGCAGTTTTCCTGCCAATACGTTTTGTAAAAGGCGCCGAGAGAACGTAAGAGCCGTGGTCCCCTTGGGAGCAGCATTCAGAAGGGCCTCTAGATGGTGAGGGAAAGGACCCGACCAGAAGAAGGAAACACTTGACTCACTTCTCAGGCTTCCACATTCCTGAGGTCGAACCTGGAATGCTGGGGTTCCCTCTTTTCTCCCTCCTTTCTGAAGTCTCGGTGTCCTCCAGCCCTCGGGGCGGGGTGAGGGGTGGTGGGGGGGCG